CATAGGGAATCCCGGGAGAGGAATCCTCACAGGGACGCCAATGTCCCCACAGACCCCCCAGGAATCCTCACGGGGACCCCAAAGTCCCCACGGACCCCCCAGGAATCCTCACCGGGACCCCAAAGTCCCCATGGACTCCCCCAGGAATCCTCACAGGGACGCCAATGTCCCCACAGACCCCCCAGGAATCCTCACGGGGACCCCAAAGTCCCCACAGACCCCCAGGAATCATCATGGGGACCCCAAGAAGCTCCTACAATCCCTTATGGGGACCCCACTACTGACCCAAATAGGGCTGCAGACCCCTATAGACCCCCATAGGGACCTCCAGGGTCAGGACCAGAGAGCTCAATAAGGCCGGAGACCCCTATAGACCCACACAGGGACCCCCATGGTGGGGCTGGAGACCTCCCATGGATCTCTGCAGGGATCCCCATAAGGTCTGCACTCCCTATAGATTCCACAGGGATTCTGTAGGAATCCCTGTAGGGCTGGGTTCCCCTAGAGACTCCCTCAGGGATCCCCTACGGATCCCCCAGGGACCCCCTATAGACCCTATAGGGATCCCCTATAGACCTTTCAGGGATCCCCTATAGACCCTTCAGGGATCCCCTATAGACCTTTCAGGGATCCCCTATGGACCCTTCAGGGATCCCCTATGGACCCTTCAGGGATCCCTGCAGACCCGGCATCCCCTACAGACCCCCAGGGATCCACAGAGACCCCAGAGGGTCAAACCGGCCCCTCCTGGCCTGTGTCAGGCTGTGCTCCCCCATGTTCCTTGGTCCATGATGGTCCATGTTGGTCCATGATGGTCCACGTTGGTCTGTGTTGGTCCATGTTGGTCCGTGATGGTCCATGATGGTCCATGATGGTCCATGTTGGTCCATGATGGTCCATGTTGGTCCATGATGGTCCACGTTGGTCTGTGTTGGTCCATGATGGTCCATGATGGTCCATGTTGGTCCATGATGGTCCACATTGGTCCGTGTTGGTCCATGATGGTCCATGATGGTCCGTGTTGGTCCATGTTGGTCCATGATGGTCCAGGTTGGTCCATGATGGTCCGTGTTGGTCCATGTTGGTCCACGTCCATCCATGTGGACCCACATTGACCCACGATGACTCCTCTTGGCCCATTTTGGTCCGTGTCCATCACTGTGGGCCCATGTTGGTCCGTGTTGGTCTGTGTCCATCCATGTGGACCCACATTGACTCCTCTTGGCCCATGATGGTCCATGTCCATCCATATGGACCCATCTTGATTCCTCACAATCCATGATGGTCCGTGTCCGTCCATGTGGACCCACGTTGATCCATGTTGACCCATGTTGGTCCATGTTGGTCCATGTTGGTCCATGC